TATGTAAATTGTTAATGGCTATCACATTTTGACCAATATAACAACAGACTGTCCCATTTAAAGCTTGAACATTTTTTTTGTAGTGGAACCTACTTATTGAAGGTGCTGCATCTCTGAAACATTAAAATTGCTCATTGTCTCCCACTTCGTGATTTCAGTGCAAGAAATACAGGGAGGGAATCTCAAACCAGAGGAAAGCAGAATTAGAAGAGAAGTTGTATGCCAGTGAACTCTTCAAGGATAAGAAAGCCTCGTATGCCTCCAGGTATTATTTGGATCTCTGAAAAGTATTCTAAGACTTTGGTTTTTGCCAATGCTTCATGAGCAGGCTGACAAACTTATATTTTTTAAACTACTATACAGTTTACTATTCCCAGCCATTGGAAAAGATGTGGCGATCAGAGGCAAAATGACAAACTCTCACTTTTACGACTAGAGTGCTGTTCTTTCTGTTGTTCCATCCTTTCATGTTGTGACCTTGTAGCGCAGTGATCAAGGATTCAGACAGCCAACTTAATTGATGTTGCCAGCTGAGTAAAGCACTGGCATCTGTCATCGGAGGGCCCAAAGACTACCTTTATTGAACACCAGAGTTGTCAGCCATTTTCCTTGCTGGGACTCCCCCATCTCCACCACACCCCAAACCACACAAAATTATTTCTGGCACCTTTTCAGCATTTCTGCCAAAGTTTTGGGATGAGACAGAGAATCTCTCGGAAACTCTACTCTCAGAATTACATTTCAGGTCAGTCACATGATCATTTTCAGGTCAACAGGAGAAATTGCAAGTTCAACGTCTCAAGCTTCAGAGAACTATCGTGCCTGTCAAGTCTATACCTGTCCCTTTAACTGCCAGTCTTATATTCATTCATCTAGCTTCTTTCTCGGAATTATTTAACTCAGTCCTAAGTTCTGGGAACTGTTGCGTACTCACTATTGTGCTGAGGAATATTCCCCTTAGCTGTAGTTTTGCACGTTTGTTAATTCAGTTGTGCTTGCCTGACCTTGTTTCCATAATCCACTGTTTCTGTGACCTTGTCAGTGTGCCTCAGCCCTTCAAAGGACAGTATTTGGATGCTCAGAAAAAGGCCAAATACCAGAAATTAGCCAATGGCATGGAGGGGAAGTTACTTATGATGGACACGGCCATGAAAATTAACAGAAAGAATGGAAAGGTAAGGAGAGAAATGGCAATCTGCCATTCATTCAGGGAGCTGTTGCAATCAATAAAACAGGGAGAACTAAGATGAGAGACCCGTATAGAGTGTTTGAGGGGGTTGAAACACAATGGTTAGTTCATAAGATCATAATGGCTAGTCTGTGCTGTGTATAACCTTGTGCCACTGGACTCAGTAACTCTACTTTATCATCTCCCTATCCCATCTCCGTAACATCACTAGGGCTCACTGCTCATTTTTTTTTAAACCAACCTGTTCAGAAATGTTATGACACACTTTGGAGCAGGTGGGACTGGACCTAGGCCTCCTGGCCCAGAGGTAAGGACACTACAGCTGCACTACACGAGCCCCACCACTGGTTATGTTTATGTCTTCCTGCCCGATCACTATCTAATCAATTTGTGGGGGAGAACAATGATGATCTTAGCCATGACACCCTCCAAATACTATCTCATGGTCAATGCTTAGGTATTAGTGGAGCCAGGAAGGTTGAGAAAAAAGTGTGTAATGTTACAAAACAATTTCTGGCTTTCTCTACAGAGCCATACTGTATTTTTATTGACCACATACATGTGCCATCTCCATTCTAGCATTCTCCAAGAATCATGATGATGACAAACAACTACTTCGCCCTGGCTGATGCAAAATCTGCTCAAATTAAAACCCTGATCAAAATGAATGAGATCAAGGGCATCTCCATGAGTGAGCGTAGAGACGGACTATTTGCACTACATATAGTGGAGGTGAGCACAGAGTTCATTCATCAGCATTTAAGATACTATGCCAAGATTCATGAACAGTCCCAAAGAACAATAAGTGCATCATGTTATTCAGCCCTGGTCCCATTTGAAACACAGCTGTACTAGATAACAGTCTGATGCCATCTCCACTTGGCTTAGAATCCGACCTGTGCCAACTGGAGTGTGGCTTGGAAATAATTCGATGTTTGATGACAAGGTTGTCCCTGGCACCTCCTTGCTAGTCAGTTGTTCTGATACCAGTCTGAGAAAACACTGACGATCCCGCTACTTGACACTAAATGTAGTTAGTTAAGGGATAATTGGGTATTAAAATGCACCAAGCCCAGGTCTACATCATCAATGTATTAAAATAAAGGTGCAGATTTGATCTTTTATTGCACAGTGGTGTCCAATACTTACAAACTGTTAATAGGATGCTGAGAACTGTGGCTAGTAGGCTGAGCATTACAATTCAAAAGAACTGTGGCTTGAAATACAGATACTTTCTGAACATTGTAAGTTGAGCATAAAGAAGGCATGTTAAGCACAGGAAAACTAAGTAATATGAATGCTTGCAATAAAATTCAAGGCAACGGTAGCATTTTAAAGAATGGGTTCAATTAGTTGTTTAAAAGTATGAAATCAGGAAAGTGATTACTTTTAGTAATTAATAGTAACCCTATGTTGAAAATTATAAAAGTGCATCTTTGACAGAGGGATTTTGCTTTCAAATCAAGTGACTAAAATGGAAAAAATGTTATTTTATTTTTTCTTCAACCTTACAGAACTCCTCTGTTGGAGTTAAGGGAGACTTCCTCTTAAACAGTGACCACCTAGTGGAGCTCACCACCAAACTGCATCGCTCAATACTGGACACAACCCAACAGAGGATAAACCTCGAGATACAGGATGAGTAAGTACAACAAATCAATTTAATGCAGGTGAAGATCCCTTTGAATCTACTGATGCTCCTTTATAATTCTGTCACATTCTTCAGCTTCATGTTTTAGTATTAGGGAATAGAAAAACAAATCTATTCAGGACAGGGTCAGCATGGGGTTAGACACAGAGTAAGGCTCCCTCTACACTGTCCCTCCATCAAACACTCCCAGGAGAGGGGGGTTAGATGCACAGTAAAGCTCCCTCTATACTGTCCCCCATCAAACACTCCCAGGAAATTCCCAGAGAAAGGTCACATACAAATAGTTTTGGTATAATACATGGTCCTTTATTGCAGCTTAAAGCTTTGCCCAATTTTCTTTTTTTACAGACTTTCTCTCAAGTTCAATAAAAGCACAATCTCTGTAAAGTTTGTAAAAGCAACAGAGAAAAATGGAAATATTCCGGTGTGCAAGAAGAAAAACAGTCACTTACTCGAGGTCCAGGTTCCTTAACTGTGGGGCTTCAACATCCATCTTTACTCAGAATTGTGGAAACTCTGATCTGAGGCCTCAAAGCAACAGCAGTTTGGTTTTAAAACAAACAGCAACTTCTGATTAATCATCATTCACCAATTGTTCTGGGCTTGATGTACATTAATTCATGTGGGAACCAGACAAGAAAAATTCTGCAGCACTGGTCGTCTAGATTTTGCAATGTGTGCTCCCAGCTTGTGAGCAGGACTAGAGTAGCAGAGCTTTTAACCCTCAAATGCTTGGCAATCATTGTAAATACTGTAGATTCTTCTGTGTAGATCAATTTAAATCATGTCAGCCAATAAGACAATCCTTCCCTGTATAACTGATCATGGGAAGTGCTGTATATTTCTGTACTCTTCTTATTACAATTAATGCTTATGCTGAGCACTACTTTGCCATGTTATTATGGGATCTTCTTTCATTGGGATGTTGGAAATGAAAAGAAACAAAATTATTTGTCTCTGATAATTGGGAACTGATTTTTGACAGATTTGGCTAAAATTATCAGCTCTTCCCTACTCTAACGGTGAATATCCAATACAGGTAATGTTCCTGAAACACTACACATACAAAGTTCCTTACTGAGTTGCAGTTCAAAAGATTTTACACAAGCATTTAGAATTTTAGTTGTCTCCTCCACTTTCTCCCTTCCTGCACTAATTCAGACTGGAAAATGGTGGCATTTGTACTGTTCACCCAACTGGGATTCATGTCAGTGGGCTATTAGGTATGTAGTAATCATCATAACCAAATCAAACATTGCCCTTGCTTTACCAAACTACCTGCATACTTTTCAGGAGATCAGAGTCCAACCATAGTATCCAGCTGAGATAACTTCTTTGATTTCATTAACAGGCCAGGTCAGCAGCCTGGTAGCAACCATCTTTCCCTCAGCACTTGCAGGAGCTTCTCAGCAAGACATGCTGGATTTGTGAGCAACTGGCTGATTCTTTTCTCACACACTCAAACATTTTATTGTTTTGTGATACACCCATTTTTGACTATTAATAGAACACACCAGGTGTAAAATGGGCATTGCACTTCACTCAATCTCATCTCAGCTATTTCCTTAGAAAACAAGACGAACATCAGATGAAATAAAGAGCTTCTACCCTATCTTACAAGCTACAGCCATTTGAATTCAACTCACTTCTAGAAGTTAAGAGTGACCAGATTGTGCCACCAATATGCCCATTTAGCAGGGATTTATTTATTTATTTTTTTAAAAAAGTGTAGGCCAAAACTAGGCAGTACTCACTTTTCCAATATAAAAAAGCTGCATATTCTAGTAGAATTTACATTATAAATGGAATATACCACACAGATCGGCCATTAGATTAGCAAAAACAAATTTGAGCTTATTCTTTCACTCACATTCGGCAAGGCATATGCAAAGTTGCTGCAGGTGACTCACACAAGTAGAGTGAAGTGAGCAGTTTTTGCTCACTTGTACCTGTTCCACACTTAAACTATAGCAAGTTCAGAAGTTTCATGGTTTAGATACTGAAACACCCTACAATTTCAAACTCGCCAAGATTAGACCAGATTTTTAATGCCTTACAGTCTCAAGACCATTCACACTAATAAAGAGAAAAACACTTCATTCAACTCTCACTCCAAAAGAGAACAGATGAAAATGAAGACTCTACTGCATAAATAGGAAATAATACCCGCTACAAATTTTAATTTTAAGTTGAAAATATAATTATACTGCAACACCTTATATTTGTTTTTGGATTATGCTGTAAAAATCACTTGTATTTACAAATCAAATACAAAGATGTTCAGTTTCTTTTAATATCACAATAAAATTTGAAAACAAAGCACCATGCTCGTGGAATAATCCAATTTCCATCTTACAAGTTATTTACCATGCAAGGCTTTGATCAAAGTATCTCTTTAACTAATCAATAGGAGACAACAGTCTTAGCACTTTCAGATCGCAAGTTAATGACCACTGAGTAAAGTAAGCCAGCTAATTTTATTCATCCACAAAAAGATCACAGATTTCCCCCATTTCAGCATTTAATTGGTTCATTAACTCTTTTATATGACGGATTGCTTGGCAGTTATTTTCCCTCCACAAAGGGAACAGCTGAGGAATTCATTGTGGGCTAAATTGCAGAGCAACGTATTGCCCTTCCATGCTAACAGGTAATATTCTGGTGAGGTACACTGGGCAGTTCCAATATTTCACTATAATCTGCCAATTACAGCCAACAGGAAATTAATATCTAACTTCTCCAGCACTGAAACCTCCTTGACGCAAGTCTAGTTGGGGGGTTTCTCTCTGAGAATATCAAGCTTCAATATGGAAGCAGAGGAAATTTCACTCTGGTAAATGAAAAATAGAAGTGAAGTATGTAGCACAATAGCGTTTAAAATACTAACATCATTCAATATTAAAACAAACTTCTTTGATCAGACCTTTTGAAAGGTGTGGAGTAGGAGAGTAGAAGCAATGGACACAGCTAGATGCAGTAATGGGAAGAGTAAGGGTACCAGAGATTTGGATTTCAGTGGAAACATTATATAACTGGAGGGATAGGCTTTGACAAGCCAAATTCAATGTTGCCAAAATGCATAGCAGAAATCACCTTGCATATTATATAAAATGGATAAATCTCCTATGAGTCTGCCCTATTTTATTAAATAACTCAGCTATTCAGTATCTGCAGAAGAGTGATGTGTAGACGTTCTTTCTTCAAGGTAAATCTGTCAAATTTAAAGTATTCAAGCCACACAAATTGTAATGAATTTCAGGCCATAAACAAAGTAGAAAATTCCCAAATGTCAGGTTTAAAACAAACTGACTAAGTTGGAGACAACACTATACCAAACATCAAATCAAATATTGATATGCACAAGGCTAAATATTACAATGAGGAGAACCTTATGTCCTAATCCGAGGTTTTATTGCTCTTCATGGCAAATACTTCAAAAAAGATTACAGATGGTTGGTTACATACACATTAACTGAAATGGATAAGAAGTCAACTTACACCCAAACAAGAAACCAGGATAATGACAAGGTTTCTCCATAGATTCTCCTCCTTCATTTTCAAAGGTGACTATGGATCAAGAAACCTGTACAATCCCATAACTTTTTCTCACTCCGAATACTTCACTTTTTATTGACATTATAAAATTTCATTTAAAATGCGAGTACAAACTCAGGTAGTTTAAAATAGTGTGCATAAAGTATATACTCTATTGATTCACTCAGCAAATGAAACTGCTTTCAAAACTTACATGAAGAATTGTAATATTTGATGAACATGAAAATGATTCTTCAGTCCAGTGTTCAAAACCATTTCAAAAACCAAATTCATTGTAATTAATCCTCATCATCATCTTCAATTGCTCTCCGCCGCCTTTTAATCACTCTGTGGGTGACGTCAGAGTCAGACATGTCAGAGTCAGTCTTAGGCTCTTCCATCATCTCCGTGTCAACAGGTTCTTTCACTGAAATTCCACATTCAAGACCATTAAAACCATAAAATCAATGCTGCCTTTGCACAAAACACGCTCCAGCCACTTATCAATACTAGCTGCTGCATTCTCTCCAATTCCAGGCCCTTTGACAGGGGCAAGAGGCACAACTTGGCCTATTATTGGGAAACCATGCCCTCCCATTCCAGTGCAAAATAACATGGCTACAATGCACACTGGCCTCTGCCAGAAGACCTCGAAACAGAATATTACATCTTAAAGATTTGAAGAAAAACAGAATCTTACCCTCATCATCTAGTTCATCGTCACTATCAAGCAGGCGACTCCGCTTTAGCGGATGTTTATGTTTGCTCTTCTCACCATCACTGCAACAATGAAATATAATCTGCTTTTAATCCACACAGGACAGTTCATTGTCAAATTTACTGAGCAAAGCTACTGATCACTGGAACATCCCTTTCACAAATACAACACTAACAGCATGACATGTTCAGCGTGCATCATGGTAGGACACATATCCACATTGCAGTACACATTGATCTCAAAAATACCATAGTTGAATGTAAGAAACTTGCATTTATACAGCACTGTTTATGTTCTCGGGACGTGCCAATGCACATTACAGTCAATAAAGTGTTTCTGAAGCGTAGTTGCTTGTAATGCAAGGAGAGGATGACGGAAGGGAACATGCCAAGTGAGGGGATGATACGGATACAAGTCCACATCCAACAATGAGTAAAATGACAATGATGCAATCTCAACTGTCCGCGCCAAAGTTCAGAGACTAGGAATCAGTCTGCTCCACGAAGATGGAGAAGCAGGAAATACTCGTCGCTTAATTTATCTAGAGTGACACACCAGAATATTCCTCGACTATTTTTATTTACTGAAAAGTTTAATTTATACTCTTCATCAGCCACTCCACCCCATTTCACTGATTGAGATACAGAGTCATACAGATATACAGCACGGAAGCAGATTTTTCGGTCCAACTTGTCCATGCCGACCATGATATTAAATAAATTTAGTCCCATTTACTAGCATTTAGCCCATATCCCTCTAAACCCTTCCTATTCATGAATAGGAAGATGCCTTTTAAATGTTGTAACTGTACCAGCCTCCACTACTTCCTCCGGCAGCTCGTTCCACACATGCACCAACCTCTGTGTGAAAAAGTTACCCCTCAGGTACCTTTTAAATCTTTCCCCTCTCACGTTAAACCTATGCCCCTCTAGTTTTGGACTCCCCCACCCCAGGGAAAAGTCCTTCTGTATTTACCCTATCCATGCCCTTCATGATTTTATAAACTTCTGTAAGGTCACCCCTCAGCCTCTGATGCTCCAGGAAAAATAGCCCCAGTCTATTCAGCCTGTCCCTATAGCTCAAACCCTCCAACCCCGGCAACATCCTTGTAAATCTTTTCTGAACCCTTTCAAGTTTCACAACATCCTTCCTATAGCAGGGAGACCAGAATTTCACGCAGTATTCCAATAGTGGCTTAACCAATGAACAAATGAAAAAGTACAGCACAGGAACAGGCCCGTCGGCCCTCCAAGCCTGTGCTGACCATCATGTCTAAAAACATACCTGCCATTTTTCAATCTATATCCCTCAATGCCCTCCCTATTCATGTATCCATCTCGATGCCTCTTAAATGTCTTCAATGTGCCTGCTTCCACCACCTGTTCTGGTAGTGCATTCCCGACTGCTACCACTCTGTGAAAAACTTCCCTCGCACATCTCCCTTAAACTTTCCCCCTCTCACCTTGAACCTGTGCCCCCTTGTAATTGAAACTTCAACCCTGGGAAAAAGACTATCCACCCTATCTGTGCCTCTCATAATTTTGTCGACCTCTATCAGGTCTCCTCTCAGCCACCGTCTTTCCAGTGAAAACAATCCTAGTCTTTTTAACCTTTCCTCATAGTCAATGCCCTGGAGACCAGGCAACATCCTGGTGAACCTTCTCCGTACTCTCTCCAAAGCTTCCACATCCTTCTGGTAATGTGGTGACCAAAACTGCACGCAATACTCCATATGCGGCCTAACAAGGATTTTATATAGCTTCAACAGGTTATGCCAACTCCAGTACTCCATACCCCGGGCAGTGAAGGCAAGCATGCCATATGCCTCCTTAATCACCTTGACAACCTGTGTTGCCACTTTCAGGGAACTGTGGACCTGCACGCACAGATCTGTCTGAATGTTAGTTTTCCTAAGGGTTCTGCCTTTAACAGTATAATTCGCACCTAAATTTGATCCTCCAAAATGCATCACCTCGCATCTGTCTGGATTAAACTCCAGCTGCTATTTCTGTGCCAAGTCACTAATCTATCTATATCCTATTGTATATTTTCACAATCGTTGGCATTATCAGCAACTCCACCAATCTTCGTGTCATCAGCAAACTTGTTCATCAGACCACCCACATTTTCCTCCAGATTATTTATATATATTACAAACATCAAAAGACCTAAGTCTGACCCCTGTGGAACACCACTAGTTACCACATTTCCATTCTGAAAAACATCCTTTCACCGCTATCCTCTGTCTTCTCTTACCAAGCCAGTTTTCTATCCATCTAGCCAGGCCATCGCGAATCCCTTGTGATTTTAGTTTTTGTACCAACCTGCCATGTGGGACTTTATCAAATGCCTTAATAAAGTCCATATAAACTACATCCACAGCCTGACTCTCATCAATTATCCTCGTTACCTCTTCAAAAAATTCAATCAGGTTGGTTAGACATGAACTACCCAAGGCAAAACCATGCTGCTTGTCACTAACTAGTCCATTTTCCTTCAAATGCGCATATATCTTGTCCCTCAGTATCTTCTCCAAGAGCTTCCCCACCACAGACGTCAAGCTCATCGGCCTATGGTTTCCTGGATTATCCCTGCATCCTTTCTTAAACAAGGGAACAACATTCAGTAATCTCCAGTCCTCTGGAACTTCACCTGTGGTCAACGAGGATGTGAAGATATCTGCCAATGCCCCAACTATTTCCTCCCTTGCCTCTCTCGGAGTAACCTGGGGTAGATCCCATCTGGTCCTGGGGACTTGTCTATCTTAATGCAATTTAGGATTCCCAAAACTTCCTCCAACATGTTGACATTCTCTACAGTATTCACACACTCATCCCTGACCTCAACATCAGTCATGTCCTTCTCCTTGGTGAATACTGATACGAAGTACTCATTCTGGATCTCCCCAACTTCCTGTGGCTCTACATATAACTTCCCTCCTTCGTCCTTGAGTGGGCCTACTCTTTCCCTCATTACCCTCTTTCTCTCAACATATGCATAAAAAGCCTTGGGATTCTCCTTGACCCTGTTTGTTAAAGACAATGTCCTGTACAGCCGCAACATGACCTCCCAACTCCTATACTCAACGCACTGATCAATAAAGGCAACCATACCAAACACTTTCTTCACCACCCTGTCTAGCTGCGACTCCACTTACAAGGAACTATGAACCTGCACTCCAAGGTCTCTTTGTTCAGCAACACTCCCCAGGACCTTACCATTAAGTGTAAAAGTCCTGCCCTGATTTGCCTTTCCAAAATGCAGCACCTCATATTTAGCTAAATTAAACTCCATCTGCCATTCCTCAGCCCATTAGCCCATCTAATCAAGGTCCTGTTGTACTCCGAGGTAACCTTCTTTGCTGACAACAACACCTCCAACTTTGGTGTCATCTGCAAACTTACTAACCATTCCTCCTATGTTCACATCCAAATCATTGATATAAATGACAAAGAGCAGCGGACCCAGCACCAATCCTTGTGGCACACTGCTGGTCACAGGCCTCTAGTCTGAAAAGCAATCCTCCAGCACCACCACCCTTCATCTTCTACCTTCAAGCCAGTTCTGTATCCAAATGGCTACTTCTCCCTCTCTTCCATATCATCTAACCTTGCTAACCAGCCTACCATGAGGAACCTTGTGAAATGCCTCACTGAAGCCCACATAGATCATGCCCACTGCTCGGCTTTCATGAATCCTCTTCATTACTTCCTCAAAAAAAAAAATCAAGTTAGTGAGACACGATTTCCCATGCACAAAGCCATGTTGACCATCCCTAATCAGCCCTTGCCTTTCCAAATACATGTAAATCCTGTCTGTCAAGATTCCCTCCAACAACTTGCCCACCACTGATATCAGGCTCACCAGTCTATAGTTGCCAGGCTTTTCCTTACCATCTTTCTTAAATAGTGGCATGACTTTAGCCATCCTCCAGTTCTCCGCCACCTCACCTGTGGCTATCCTTGATACAAATATCTTAGCAAGGGGCCCAGCAATCACTTCCCCAGCTTCCCACAGAGTTCTAAGTTACACCTGATCAGGTCCCGGGGATTTATCCACCTTTATGTGTTTTAAGGCGCCCAGCACCACCTCTATAATATGGACATTTTTCAAGAGGTTGCTATTTATTTCCCCATGTTCTCTATCTTCCATATCCTTTTCCACAGTAAAATACCAATGCAAAATACTCGCTTAGTATCCCCCCAATCTCCTGTGGTTCCACACATAGGCAGCCTTGCTAAATAGTTTCATTTGCGAACAAATGCCAGTACTAAGAAATGTAACCATTTCTCACCCTTTACACTCAAAATCAATCCTGCAGGTACAGATCAGATACAAGGTAACATTGCCTTTATTCTGACCTCAATGTGCCTGAACCTTTAATCCGTGAAGGCCACCCATCGCCTCCTTGCTGTGCCAGCATGACATTCCCCACACCAAACATGTTATTGTGGTTTGTCTCAGTGAGATGGTCAAATCAGTTTGATGGTAGGGATTGAGACCAACCAGCAACTGTTAAAAATCTGCACAAATGTAATCCACTTCAAATTCTTAAAGCTAGCCAGAGAAATGGTTCTTCTATCAGCTTAACGTTTTCTCTGTGGGTAGTGCTCAGCTTTGTCAACAACGAATAAGAACATCCCAGCACTTATTCAATGACAAGTTCTCTTTTCTCCTCAGCAGCCTATATCCTCCTCAGAGAGCCATGCCCTGACACCTTGTTGGCATTGTGCCACTAGACTCCATGTTCTGCAGTGTACAAGTCGAAGGAATGTTTCATAACTTGCCCTTTCGTTTCACTGTCTGATCCAGAGGGGGAGTCATCAGCTTGATCTGTTCTCCCTTTGGATTCATCATCAACTGTAAAATATAAAACCATGAAAATATCAGTAAGTGCATAGACCAAAGGTAAGGCAAGACAAAACGTTTCAAAATTCATTCTTTCCCTAGACTTTAAAATATTTTTAAGTTGCATTGCCCTCATTTCATAATCCAAACTTGCTGGTCTTTGAATTCCCTACCATGGAAGGATGAGGGAATTATCTTACTCAGGAGCTCTCCGAGTCCATGGAATGGATTAGGGGCCAGTTGTTGAAAACCTGTGGGTGTACATCTAACATTCATCACACAGTAGTTTGGAGCATCAACCAACCAACCAGTTACCAATTTTCAAAAGATAAAATAAATCCACAACATGCCTGAAACAAAAACACTAACCAGGAGTTTCAGTTGCAAAGTCACTCAAAATTTATTTCATTACCTTTAGCAGGAGTGGCATTCCTCTCCCTGGCCATCATTTGAGCTTGCCAGACCTCAGACCTCTGATCTGCACTAACATCTTCATTTCGCTCTACTGCATCCCATCCACCATCATGCAGGGTGATAACTGAAGCAATCCTGCGCAACTGCTGAACATTCAGGTTAGCAGAAATACGCCAGAAAGATTCCTAATAAATACAAAAGAGCATCACATATAGAAGTAACTAGAGGGAAGACCAGATAACCTGTTTTTAGTGATATTGCATGAGGGATAAATATTGACCTTAGGATACTGGGGGAGAGAACTCGCCTGTGTGCTTCTTCAAAGCAATGGCAATGAGATCTTTTCTGTCCATTAGAGAGGACAAACAGGATCTTTGTTGAACAGCTCATCTAAAAGACAGCACAGTTCTAAAATGTGTGATAGGATTATGAATGTATGTTTCCCAAATTGTCATGGTAAGCAACAGTACGAAAGTTTCAATAGATGAACTAATAGAAAGGGAAGGGAAAGGGAAACGGGAAAAAAGGGAATTTAAAAACAATTCAAAGCTTGTATTCTGT